GTCCAGTCCGAGCGCCAGCTGCTGCGAGCCAGGCGGCGTCGGAAGCCCGGGCTGGGCTCCGTGGACTCCGGGCTGTGCCTGTCGGAGCCCAAATGTTTGGTTCTAGAAGGGCTGAGGGGGCGACACCGCAAGAGTGAATTCTTCAGCATCCCCAGGGCGTCCCTGGGCCCGCTCCTTCCTTGGAGGGCTGGGTCAGGGAGGCGCCTGCGCGAGTGCGTTCAGCGACTGCTAAGGGAATGAATGAGGCCTTGAAGGCGCCTACGTTAGAATATTACAAACTTTCGAGAGCCTTCTGGAGTGTACTGCTCCCTAGAAAAAGAGGGCCTTGAGGGTGCGCAGCGCGGCGGCCTGGGCGCGTATTTGCCGTCAGGCTGGGTGGCTTCGGAGGGGGCGGCGCAGGGATGGGGTCCATACTTAGGCTCCTTACAGCGCCGGCCCTTCACTCACTCATTCGTACAGCGCTAGAAACATTTGTTGAAGAGCAGGCCCTACACAAGGTGCTGGAAATAGACTGAAAGAAATGGTGCTCTTGCTCCATTTAACCATTCGACAAATACGCGTTGAGCGTCTATTAAGTCCCATGTGCTGTTCCTGTTGCCGGGGACTCAGCCCCCTCTTGATGGGGACCTCCAGTCGAAAGAAGGGAGATGGAGGAAACCCAAGTCCCCAGTACACCCTGATACCCTTCCCGGTGGGCAACTGCTAAGAAGAGTGGGGCAAAGGAAGGCTGGATAGTAATGGGGTGAGGGGACCTTGCTTTCTGGAGGGTGACAGTCGTGACAGTACAGTGTGACCAGGATGGTAAAAGCTTCCATACTGTAAATGTGGCTTAGGGAGGCAGAATCAGGAAAACAAACCATCCTGAAGTAGAGAGGAGGCTGGAGGCGGGCTTGGGGTCAGCCAATCAGGAGGGAGGAAGGGATGGGGAGATGTGGTAGGCAGAATAATGCTCCCCATGGAGGTGTCCATGTCCTATGAATATGTTCTGTTACATGGCCAAGGATAATTAAGGTTGCTGATGAAATTACAGTTGCTAACCAGCTGTCTAATATCAAGGACCCCATGGCAACCAGAGTTGATTCCACCTGGGGAAGAGGGAGACAGAAAGGGAGAGTCCAGGAAAGAGCTGTGACGATGGATGAATGGCCAGAGAAACGCTCTGTTGCTGCCTTTGAAGATGAAGGAAGGGGCTACAAACAAAGCATTGTCGGCAGCCTCTAGAAGCTGGAAGAGACAAGTAAACACTCTCCCCTGGGGCCTCAGAGGACCATGGGCCTGCTGATGCCCTCATCTTAGTGCAGTGGGACCCGTGTTGGGTTTCTAACCTACAGAGCTGCACCTTAACAAATTTGTGTTGTTTTAAGCCTCCAAGTTTGTGGTTGTTATGGCAGCAATAGAAAACTAATAAAGGGAAGTTTCGAGTTTTAACCTTGAGCCTTCAGGGCCCCTCCCTCAACTCCCCAGGAAGCATTAATTAGTAGATTCTGCCAGAATTAGCCTGGTGGTTCAGAGAAAAACTGTGATGTAGTGGGTAAGAGTTATACCTCTTCCCCAACTTGCACGCGGGCTCTGCCAGGCAGCCACCCACTCAGGCCTGCCTGTGCCCCTTATCAAATGCTTTCTGTTCCTGAGAGCCCAGCCAGGTGGGCAGAGCCAGCAGCTCTATCCCCCTTTACAGAGATGGAAACCAAAGCTCAGGGAACTGGCAGTAATCTGCTTGGCCTGAAAATATCAAAACATGCAGGCTCAACCTCCTCCCCACCCCCCTCAGGATGCTCACCTAGCCTCTGTCACCCCTGCCTCCCCTCCTTCCTACAACACAGCTCCAGGGGTGGGGCAGCTCTGACTAGCCCTGAGCCCTGCCTCTGAGCCATGGGCCCAGGTTCCGAGCTGGCTCTGTGCTGACTTGTTCTGTAGCCACAAATAAAAGACAGTCCCTTTCGGAACCTCCTTGCCTGGCCTTGCCACCTGACCTGGGATGACTCTAGTGATGAAGCCCCCTGAACCTGTAGGAATGTGGCTGAGGTGCAGCCCCCACCCCCCTGCTCATCGGTTGGGAAGGGTCAGAAACTCCATTCAGAGTTGATTACAAAACAGAAAATTGCAGGGATGGAAGCTTGGAGCACCAAAAACATTTACCTACAGCCATAGAAAGCCGAAAACCAACTCCAAAGCTCTCCTTCCC